CCAAACAGAAAACCTCAGCTATATGCAGAGGTGCGCACCCTGCTGGAAGCCAGGAACACTGCCTTCAGGTCTGGAAACTCAGAGGAGCTGAGTAGGACAAGAAAAGAGCTGGTTGCTGGTATTAAGAAGGCCAAGGCCACATATGCACAGAGGATCGAGGGTCAATTCATCTCACAAGACCCTCGGAGCATGTGGAGGGGCATTATGTGCATAACAGATTTTAAAGGAAGGAGCGAACAATGCCCCAAAGACCCATCTCTGCCTGATGCCCTCAACAAGTTCTATGCACGCTTTGAAGACCCGAACAGACCACCCAGCACCAGACTCACATCACCACCGGATGAAGAGCATCTCAGCGTGACCTCAGCCGAAGTAAGGAGTACCTTCAGGAGGATTAATCCGCACAAAGCAACTGACCCAGACAACATCCCCAGAAAAGTGTTGAAGGAATGTGCTGATCAGCTCTGTGAGGTGCTGGCAGACATCTTTAACACCTCACTTACCCTGGAGACAGTTCCCACCTGCCTGAAGACTGCCACCATCATCCCAGTCCCAAAAAGCTCTACAGTGACTGGTCTAAATGACTATCGGCCAGTGGCCCTCACCCCGATAGTTGCTAAATGCTTCGAAAAACTGGTCATGTCTCGCATCAAAACAACCATCAACATCAACGAGGACACTCATCAGTACGCATACCGTGAGAACCGATCAACAGAGGACAGCATCTCCTCTGTGGTCCACACTGCACTCAACTACCTGGAGCAGAAAAACTCTTACGTCCGTATGCTCTTTGTGGACTTCACATCTGCCTTCAACACCATGATCCCCCAAACCCTGATGGACAAACTATCCACACTAGGACTAAGCCCCTCCATCTGCAACAGTGTACTAGACTTCTTAACAAACAGACCACAGTAAGTGAGGATCCACAACTTCTCCTCCTCCACCATAACCCTCAGCACTGGCTCTCCTCAGGGATGTGTGTTGAGCCCCCTCCTGTTTACTCTGCTCACGTATGATTGTGCAGCTACCCATCCAGGCTGTCACAATGTAAAGTTTGCAGACGATACAGCGGTGGTGGGATGCATCACAAACAATGATGAGTCCAGCTACAGGCAAGAGGTGGAACACCTGGAGAGCTGGTGCAGAGAGAATAACCTTCACATCAATGTGAAGAAGACAAAGGAGATGAATGTGGACTTCAGAAGGAACAAAAACATCTACACCCCCCTGAACATAAGAGGATCTGTGGTGGAAGTGGTCTCCAGCTACAAGTACTTAGGTGTACACCTGAACAACAACCTCAGCTGGAGCAACAACACCACCAGCCTGATCAAGAAAGCTCATCAGAGACTCTACTTCCTCAGACGGCTGAAGCGAGCTGGTCTGGGAAGCTCAGTCCTCACCTCCTTCTACAGGTGTGCAGTGGAGAGCATCCTGTGCTCCAGAATCAACGTGTGGCATGGAGGCTGCACAGCTGCAGAAAGAAAAGCTTTGCAGAGAGTGGTGAAGGCTGCACAGAAGAATGTTGGAGTCAGCCTCCCCACCATCACAGACATCTACACCTCTAGATGCAGGAAGAGGGCTACCTGCATCATGAAGGACCTCACTCACCCTGCACACACACTTTTTGCCCCACTCCCCTCAGGAAGGAGGTTGAGGAGCATTAAGTGTAGAACCACTAGACTGAGGAACAGCTTCTACCCTGAGGCTGTTAGACTCATGAATCTCTAACTAGAATAATCGCTGTGAAAAATCACATCATGTTGCTGCTGATCTGTGTCATGTTGCTGCTGATCTGTTTCAATGTTGATGTGTTCATGCGTGCTCATCTGCTCACACAGTCTCATGTTCATGTTTGTGCTGATGTTCAATATTTTTACGTTATGAGTGCTTAGTGTATATTTAGTTGATGTTTTTCTTAGTTCATATCTTAGATGTTATTACCGTTTTTCTTATACATTTTATTGTTGGATGTAACTGGGACCCTGTGTACATAATTTCGCTCCACCACATGTACCACATGAGGTGCGAATGACAATAAAGAAACTCTGACTCTGACTAATTTCAGCTGCTGCTTTGCATCAGCTTCTTTCTGCTAATTTCAGCTGCTTCTTTGCTTCAGCTTCTTTTTGCTAATTCCAGCTGCTGCTTTGCTTCAGCTTCTTTTTGCTAATTTCAGCTGCTGTTTTGCTTCAGCTTCTTTCTGCTATTTTCAGCTGCTGCTTTGCTTCAGCTTTTTTCTGCTAATTTCAGCTGCTGCTTTGCTTCAGCTTCTTTCTGCTAATTTCAGCTGCTGCTTTGCTTCAGCTTCTTTTTGCTAATTTCAGCTGCTGCTTTGCTTCAGCTTTTTTCTGCTAATTTCAGCTGCTGCTTTGCTTCAGCTTCTTTCTGCTAATTTCAGCTGCTGCTTT